GTGCGGAGCGGATTATATACTGTATACCTATAATATTATACATTGTATAACTATATTATATACTGTATATCAGAGTTTCTCAATCAGGGTTCCTCCAGAGGTCGCTAGGGCTTCCTTGAGCAATGAACAATTTCTGCCTCTCTGATAAGTTCCCACTGACACCTCTGATCTTTCTAGCTAACTGTAAGGGGCTAATTCTTCCCAATGACCACAATTAAGGGACATTCTTCCCACGGACCATCACACTAATGTATCATGAGTTGTAGATATAATCATTAGCAGACGTTCCCTGAGATCGGAAAGTTATTTCAAGGGTTCCTCTGTGTTGACAAGGTTAGGAAAGTCTACCTATAATATTATATCCTGTATAACTATATTATTTCAATTCTTTTAGAAGTTATGTTTAAAGTGTTACTAAACCCACAACAGTAAAATCAGTCTGTATATGTAGTAAAGCATGCTTGTTATACTCACTGTGCAAAGTAAGGGGTTAATCCTTCGCATTGTGTAAAAACGCTGCTTGATCCTGACTTCTCTGACCCTCCCCTTCTTCCAGTGTCCCCCTCTTATCGCTTGATAACACCTATCGTGTGGAGTCACCCTGCACATGCTCAGTTTGGTGTGTATTGCTAGAGAGGGTTTTTTTTTTTTCTTGGGAGAGTGCATGTGATCAGCACAGGGCCAATCAGCACTGTCTAGACAGAGGGTCAGGGGTTCTGCATCTTCCTAGAGCAAAATGAAAACTCCTACAAGATTAATCAGTGCTCAGCCGGACACTGAGAGAAGTCACAAGACTGCTCTAACTGCTGATGAGAAAAGGTATTTAGCAGTTTATATGTGCTAAAATAATTGCATTTCCATGTTGTGTGTACTGTGGGAGACCAGATGTAGTGAATGCAGGGTCCGGGGAGACCGATATAGTGAATGCAGGGTCCGGGAAGACCAGATATAGTGAATGCAGGGTCTGGGAAGACCAGATATAGTGAATGCAGGGTCCTGGGAGACCAGGTATAATGAATGCAGGGTCCGGGGAGACCGGATATAGTGAATGCAGGGTCCGGGAGACCGGATATAGTGAATGCAGAGTCCTGGGAGACCAGATATAATGAATGCAGGGTCCAGGGAGACCAGATAAGTGAATGCAGGGTCCAGGGAGACCAGATATAGTGAATGCAGGGTCCGGGGAGACCGGATATAGTGAATGCAGGGTCCGGGAGACCGGATATAGTGAATGCAGAGTCCTGGGAGACCAGATATAATGAATGCAGGGTCCAGGGAGACCAGATATAGTGAATGCAGGGTCCTGGGAGACCAGATATAGTGAATGCAGGGTCCTGGGAGACCAGATATAGTGAATGCAGGGTCCGGGGAGACCAGATATAGTGGATGCCGGGGTCCGGGGAGACCAGGATATAGTAAATGCAGGGTCCGGTTATAGAGAGCGCACCGGGGAGATATAGTGAACGCAGGGTCCGGGGGAGAAGAACGGTTATAGAGAACGCAGGGTCCGGGGGAGACCAGATATAGTGGATGCCGGGTCCAGGGAGACCGGATATAGTGAATGCAGGGTCCGGGGAGAGATCGGTTATAGAGAACGCAGGGTCCGGGGAGACCAGATATAGTGAACGCAGGGTCCCGGGGAGACCAGATTATGAACGCAGGGTCCGGGGAGACCAGATATAGTGAACACAGGGTCCGGGGAGAGACCAGATATAGTGAAACAGGGTCCGGGGAGACCGGATATAGTGAAAACAGGGTCCGGGGAGACCGGATATAGTGAACGCAGGATCCGGGGAGACCAGATATAGTGAACTGCAAGGTCCGGGGAGACCAGGATATAGTGAACACAGGGTCCGGGGAGACCGGATATAGTGAACGCAGGGTCCGGGGAGACCAGATATAGTGAACACAGGGTCCGGGGAGAGTGATATAGTGAACACAGGGTCCGGGGAGACCGGATATAGTGAACGCAGAGTCCGGGGAGACCAGATATAGTGACACAGGGTCCGGTGAGAGTGGTATAGTGAACACAGGGTCCGGGGGAGACCAGATATAGTGAACACAGGGTCCGGGGAGACCAGATATAGTGAAGCAGGGTCCGGGGAGACCGGATATAGTGAACACAGGGTCTGGGGAGGCCGGATATAGTGAACGCAGGGTCCGGGGAGACCAGATATAGTGAACACAGGGTCCGGGGAGTAGTGGATATAGTGAACACAGGGTCCGGGGAGACCAGATATAGTGAACGCAGAGTGCGGGGGGGTCCAGATATAGTGAACACAGGGTCCGGTGAGAGTGGATATAGTGAACACAGGGTCCGGGGAGAGACCAGATATAGTGAACACAGGGTCCGGGGAGAGTGGATATAGTGAAGACAGGGTCCGGGGAGACCGGATATAGTGAACACAGGGTCTGGGGAGGAGTCGGATATAGTGAACGCAGGGTCCGGGAGACCAGATATAGTGAATGCAGGGTCTGGGGAGACCGGATATATTGAATCCAGGGTCCGGGGAGACCGGATATAGTGAATGCAGGGTCCGGGGAGACCAGATATAGTAAAATGCAGGTCCGGGGAGACCAGATATAGTGAATGCAGGGTCCGGGGAGAGACCGGATATAGTGAATGCAGGGTCCGGGGAGACCGGATATAGTGAAATGCAGGGTCCAGGGAGACCATCTGATATAGTGAATGCAGGGTCCTGGGAGACCAGATATAGTGAAATGCAGGGTCCTGGAGACCAGATATAGTGAATGCAGGGTCCGGGGAGACCAGATATAGTGGATGCCGGGTCCGGGGAGGGGGATATAGTAAATGCAGGGTCCAGGGAGATCGGTTATAGAGAACGCAGGGTCCGGGGAGACCGGATATAGTGAACGCAGGGTCCGGGGAGATCGGTTATAGAGAACGCAGGGGTCCGGGGAGACCAGATATAGTGGATGCCGGGTCCAGGGAGACCGGATATAGTGAATGCAGGGTCCGGGGAGATCGGTTATAGAGAACGCAGGGTCCGGGGAGACCAGATATAGTGAACGCAGGGTCCGGGGAGACCAGATATAGTGAACGCAGGGTCCGGGGAGACCAGATATAGTGAACACAGGGTCCGGGGAGACCAGATATAGTGAACACAGGGTCCGGGGAGACCGGATATAGTGAACACAGGGTCCGGGGAGACCGGATATAGTGAACGCAGGGTCCGGGGAGACCAGATATAGTGAACACAAGGTCCGGGGAGAGTGGATATAGTGAACACAGGGTCCGGGGAGACCGGATATAGTGAACGCAGGGTCCGGGGAGACCAGATATAGTGAACACAGGGTCCGGGGAGAGTGGATATAGTGAACACAGGGTCCGGGGAGACCGGATATAGTGAACGCAGAGTGCGGGGAGACCAGATATAGTGAACACAGGGTCCGGTGAGAGTGGATATAGTGAACACAGGGTCCGGGGAGACCAGATATAGTGAACACAGGGTCCGGGGAGAGTGGATATAGTGAAGACAGGGTCCGGGGAGACCGGATATAGTGAACACAGGGTCTGGGGAGGCCGGATATAGTGAACGCAGGGTCCGGAGAGACCAGATATAGTGAATGCAGGGTCCGGGAGACCGGATATAGTGAATGCAGGGTCCGGGGAGACCGGATATAGTGAACACAGGGTCCGGGGAGACCAGATATAGTGAATGCAGGGTCCGGGGAGACCGATATAGTGAATGCAGGGTCCGGGGAGACCGGATATAGTGAATACAGGTCCGGGGAGACCGGATATAGTGAATGCAGGGTCCGGGGAGACCGGATATAGTGAATGCAGGGTCCGGGGAGACCGGATATAGTGAATGCAGGGTCCGGGGAGACCGGATATCTAACCATGTCAATACTGGGCACTTTTACCCCCTTTCTACTCAGGCCAATTTCCAGCTTTCAGCACTGTCACACTTTGAATGACAATTGTGCGATCATGCAACACTGCACCCATATACACTGCACTGCACTGATGATCAGTGCCCTGATTATCAGCATACAGACAGCCTATGAGCCATCAATGAGAATAGTGTCAGAAAAGGTTGTATGAAGATAAACGTTCACTGGGTCAGTCTTAGAGCTGTATTAACCACTTGTCTACCGGGCAATTTTCAGCTTAGAGCGCTGTTGCACTCTGACAATTGTGCGGTCATGCAACATTGCACCCATATGAAATTATTTATTTGAGACAGAGCTTTCTTTTGGTGGAATTTAATCACCATTTTATTCACTGTTCACAATTGTTTATTTATATATTGTTTGGATGTATTATGTATATTATTTTGTTTTCACTTTAGCGCAACACCAGAGATTTATTTGAATTTGTTATTTAGAGAGGATATTATCCTCTTAGTGTGTTTACTGCTTTGTACATAATTTAAAGCAGAGCTCCAGCCAAAAGGGGGAAGGTCCGTTTTAATGCTTCGTCCCCCGCTCCCCATTAAGGATTGGCACCTTTGGGGAGCGGGTACCCGAATTTGACAGGTACCCACTCCCACTTCCGGAAGTGAAAGTTGTCCTCCCCCCTCCCTCCCCCCCGTAGTCTTTTGGGACATGTGACAGGTCCCAGAAGACTACGTGGCCAACCACAAAGCGCAGCGCTTCTCGCACATGCGCAGTGGGCACCCGGCTGTGAAGCCGCAAGCTGTCACAGCCGGGTGCCCACACTGAAGATGCCGGCACCAGGGAGAGAAGACGGCCGGTGAAACCAGCCGTGGTGAGGACACACCGCAGGCCCGAGGGACAGGTAAGTGGCTTTATTTTAAAGGTCAGAAGCTACAGTTTTTGTATTTTCTGACTTTTATTTTTTTTTTTTCAGCTTTAAGCACTTGCGTTGTTTTTGATTGTATTTATTTAGGGATGATCAGTGTCCTGATTATTAGCATACTGACAGCCTTGCCGGTTATCTGCTCTCCTTTTCCAACAGTTTGTGAGAAAAGGACTGCCGATAACCAGCAAGTGTGTGTACATGTGATCAGTTGTGTTTGGACACAGCTGATCACATGGTAAAGGGCTGCTGTGAGTGGCCTTTTTCCCCGATCTGTGATCAGCTGTGTCCAGGGGCGGGCTGACAACTCATGGGGCCCCCGGGCAATAGGGGATCATAGGGCACCTGTGTCCTTGCCCATACTCAAAAAAGCCTACGAAAAAGGTACCAGGGGCATCTCATGGGGCCGTTAGTAAAAGATAGATTTAGAGGTTCAAATATAAATTACTGTATCACCCAATATATGGCTTCCATCCAGTAGCCAAAAAATATGCAGACCAAAAAAGAGATTTGTGAAAAGAGATTCACAAGAAAGCGGCTACATTATGGACAGAATGCGATACTCAGAAAAATTTCCAAAAATTATGCTTTATTACACATTAATAATTGACACTCGGGCAATCGCCCTGGTTTACCATCACCTCAGTATGAGACAATACACACAGACCGAAAACCATTAAAATCACACCAAGACCGGTCTGGATATATATGTGCTGCAAAGGCTGTGACAAACATAGTCTAGAGCATTTGCAGCACCGCACATTGGTTACACTCCCTGTAGGAGGTGTTTTCAAAAAATTATACCATAGGTATATAATATCACAAGCACATTGCCTTATATAGGCCTAGGGTTATGCTTCTCTCCAGATGGTAACTGTATTTGTCTTTATGCTTGCATGTGATATTATATACCTATGGTACAATTTTTGAAAAACACCTCCTTTAGGGAGTGTAACCTATGTGGTAACTATATGTGCTTATATACATAGCATGTGATATTATATACCTATGGTATAATTTTTTGAAAACACCTCCTACAGGGAGTGTAACCAATGTGCGGTGCTGCAAATGCTTTAGACCATGGTTGTCATAGCCTTTGCAGCAGATATATCCAGACCGGTCTTGGTGTGATTTTAATGGTTTTAGGTCTGTGTGTATTGTCTCATACTGAGGTGATGGTAAACCAGGGCGATTGCCCGAGTGTCAATCATTAATGTGTAATAAAGCATAATTTTTGGAAATTTTTCTGAGTATCGCATTCTGTCCATAATGTAGCCGCTTTCTTGTGAATCTCTTTTCACAAATCTCTTTTTTGGTCTGTATCTCATGGGGCCCCCTACTGACCCCGGGCCCTCGGGCAGTGCCCGAGTTTCCAAATGGTCAGTCCGCCCCTGGCTGTGTCTAAAGGACACAAAGGTCACAGAGCACACCTGATGTGCACCCCAGGAGGAGCGCAGGGGGCAGGGTTCAAGGAGGAAACCTCCCAGCTATAGCACGGTCGGTAATTGGTTAAAACCAAAAATGTAATATATTGCAGCTTACCAATTATTAGATGTGGTGGGGGTGCATTAGTTTTCTTTTTTTAGGCTTTTTCCTGTCTTTACCTGGTGATCTGGCCAGTAACACACCTCCTGTATAAGCCCTGGTTCATATATATGCGACCATGCGAGCCACATTTTGCACGGGCCTGAGAGCCCATTCATTTGAATGGACTCCCGTGACACGCAGGGAAGAAGTCCCTGCACTTCTTCTAAAAACAGTCCGCATGGGAACCTCGGTTTCCAGTATGGTTGCGTTTTCCAGTGCGGATGGCGTGCCATTAGAACTAATGGCACCCGCCCGCGGGTCCGCATTCCTCTGTGTGGGTGGTGTGACTGCACGGATTTTCACGCGGATCCTCAGCGGCACCACCCGCACAGATGTGACCATAGCCTTAGAGCTCCCCCACTCTGGATGAAGGAGCACCTTTGGACAGCAGCATTGTCAGTCTGGAGGGGAGGGGAGTGTTAGATGTACTAGCAGATTGAGACACACTAACAAATCAAAGCCAAATTCCAGCTAACACTTTATAAGCAGCTACAGCAACTGTTTATTTTTCTTTTGGGATAAAGGTTTTACATAAATAAACAAAAGCTGATCATTGTAAGCACCCCTGTCAGTGGTAAATGGTTTGTCTCAACCCTCTTATTGTTACATCTGCAGGAGAGTTTGTTCTGTTGAAAAACAGGCTTACTTGCAGGATCACCAGGTGAAAGAAAAAAATGAAAGTCTAAAACTGAAAACTAAGGCAGCCACCACATCTTAGAATCGATAAGCTACAGCATAATAAATGTTTGCTTTTGGGTTTAATACCATTTTAAAGAATCCCTGAGATCGCCAAATCTCTAGTTAATGCTAGGGTAGACAAACCCTTATAAAGCATGGTTGCCTTTACTAGAGGGGCTTGTTCACACTTCAATGCGCTTTTTTTCTGCATCACAGTGTTTTCCATGTATTCCAATGGCCCTGGTTCACACCAGTGCAGTCAGTTCCGGTGCAGAAAAAAGTAGGACATGTTGCATTTTTTCTGCACAGAACTGTACTGGAACATAGCAAACTGCATCAAAACTGCACCGGAACAGAGTGTGGTGTGAACTGTAGGCAAAAATGTATCTGGAATGCGTTTTTGTAGTGTGAACTGGCCCTAAGGCCAGCCATACATGAGCCGATTTGTGAACGATTTTTCGTTGGAAAATAGGACCTAGAAATAATCAGCTGATTTTCGCTCTGTTAGTGGGGCAATGGCACTGGCCGATTTCCGTGGTTCCTCCCCATTACGTTTATGCTGGAAAATTTGTGAAAAACAACCAACTTTCGAAATCATTGGTGGCACCATCGTATTACAGAATGAACAATGTTTTCGATTTTCGATCGAAAAATCGTTCAGAATTCGACCCATGTATGGCATGCTTAAGACCTCATTCACATGGCCAATTTGTAAGTATGTTGTGAAAAATTGCACCTGGAAGCCTAGGTGTGGCTGTATAATGCAGAGGCAGGCTGACAGTGATTGGAAGTAATTGCACAGAGAGCGATCAATGGTGGACCATGATCTTCCTGGATGCAAGTAGTGATCATCTATCTCTCATCGCAGGTAATCGCTCACTGTGTGATTACATCCAAACACCGGCAGCTGGTGTCAGCCTGGCATTGTGTTGTACAAGTCCCCCAGCCATGCCTGTCTGCACACACCTTGCCTTCTGGGGGCGATATAATTGCCACACCATGACTGATTTGGCCCTGTGAAAGAAACCTAAAGGGCCCATTTACATTTGTCCTGGGAATGATTGCACATGTGTTAACGCATGCTTTGTTGCGCGTTACTGTGCATTGCATTAAGGCAGCCTATTGACATCAATGGGCTTCCAATGCACCAAGATGTTCCAAAAATCAGACAGATCCCAAAATTGTTGTTGCCACACACTGTGCCAAGCTGCAGCTCATTGCAACGCATGTGTACTGCTTTGGAGTGCGATTCTAAATGAATGACACAACCAGTCAACATTTGTACCACGAGTAACTGCAATGCATACAGTAGATGGAAATCAACTCCAAGTTGCCGTTCACACCAATTTTGATGTGTTTTTGGGTTAAAAAATGGCGGAACAAACATGCATGAAAAATATATCACTTTGAATCCTATGGAACTCTTTATACCAGTGCGGTGCGTTTTTAAAAAGTCCTGCATGCTGTATCTTTGGTGCGTTTTTCAAAAGCACACCAACAATGCACTTCTCATTGATATCTATAGAAACGCAAAAAAACTGCAACTCACCCCAGTGCATTTTTTGAGTCACATGTCCAAGTTTCACAAGTGCATGACTGGAGTCAGGAGTCCAGAAAACACGCATCAGAAATGAGGCAACAGTGTATATGCATTTTTACAGCATTTTTTCAAGGAACAGTGTGAAAGGGCCCTAAGAATGCATTGGCGGGTATTTAACTATGCTGCAAGAATCAACTGATTTCCCCGGTTGTGATTGACAGCTGTGTGCAGCAGGGCTTTTATTGTCAGAGAATAGGTGCAGGAACTCCCCACCTTTTAAGTCACTCCTTGTCTCCGACCCCTACCCACCTCCAACCACCATCCCCTGGTTCTACCTCCTACCCACCTCCCAGTACCACCCCTTGGTTCCACCTCCAACCACCATCCCCTGATTCTACCTCCTACCCACCTCCCAGTACCACCCCTTGGTTCCACCTCCAACCACCATCCCCTGATTCTACCTCCTACCCACCTCTCAGTACCACCCCTTGGTTCCACCTCCTAACCAGCTCCCAGTACCACTCCTTGGTTCCACATCCTACCCACCTCCAACCTCCATCCCTTGGTTCCACCTCCTAACCACCTCCCAGTACCACCCCTTGGTTCCACCTCCAACCACCATCCCCTGGTTCTACCTCCTACCCACTTCCCAGTACCACCCCTTGGTTCCACCTCCTACCCACCTCCCAGTACCACCCCTTGGTTCCACCTCCTACCCACCTCCCAGTACCACCCCTTGGTTCCACCTCCAACCACCATCCCCTGATTCTACCTCCTACCCACCTCCCAGTACCACCCCTTGGTTCCACCTCCAACCACCATCCCCTGGTTCTACCTCCTACCCACTTCCCAGTACCACCCCTTGGTTCCACCTCCTACCCACCTCCCAGTACCACCCCTTGGTTCCACCTCCTACCCACCTCCCAGTACCACCCCTTGGTTCCACCGTCAACCACCATCCACTGGTTCTACCTCCTACCCACCTCCCAGTACCAGGTTCCACCTCCTAACCAGCTCCCAGTACCACCCCTTGGTTCCACATCCTACCCACCTCCAACCTCCATCTCTTGGTTCCACCTCCTACCCACCTCCCAGTACCACCCCTTGGTTCCACCTCCTACCCACCTCTCAGTACCATCCCTTGGTACCACCTCCCAATACCACCCCTTGGTTCCACCTCCTACCCACCTCCCCAGTACCATCCCTTGATTCCACCTCCTACCCCCACCTCCCAGTACCATCCCTTGGCACCACCTCCCAGCACCACCCCTTGGTTCCACCACCTACCCACCTCCCAGTACTATTCCTTGGTTCCACCTTCTACCCAACCCCCAGTACCATCCCTTTGTTCCACCTCCAACCACCATCCCTTGGTTCCTCCTTCTACCCACCTCCAAGTACCACCCCTTGGTTCCACCTCCTACCCACCTCCCAGTACCATCCCTTGGTACCACCTCCAAATACCACCCC